AACAGAGAATATCTTTGTCATTGGAATACACAGATATCGAATCTGTAACCTCAATCTGAAACTTCCTTTTTTTTCTAGAAATATCATTATTCTGAATTATGAAACAAAAATTGAAAAACTATGTCAAATACATGACCCATTCAAGATTCAGTGAATTTCAAATCAAAAGAATTATCAATTGTTCCCATTTTGCAAGTATTAGAATAGACTTAACATAATTTTAAGTATATATCATAAACAGTTGGGTTTTTGTAATTGAATTTAAGACTTGGAAACAAGAACACATTTTAAATTATGATCTCTCTTTACTGAAAAGTGGTAAAAACAATATATGCCATCAGTGTTTACGCTTATCAAATAAAGATATTCCTCCTTAAATGTTGTATGTTAATGCCTGATGCATCAAGGAAATACAACTATAATTCATTTATCTTTTTCATAGCCAAATTTTCAACTTTTAATTTTCAAGTATAAAAAAACTTGAATCGCTCATAACACTTACAACTCCATGGACACTTTTGGTGGTCTATTGATTCCATGCAGCACAATAGTTATAATTTGGAATTTTCAAAACATTACTATCATTGATTATTTGTTCACTTTTTATTGGAAAAATATGGGAGGATATGTATTCTTATAATCGAAAAAAAACATAATCTAAAAGGAAAATGGAATCTTAATGAAAGGATTTCTTATACTACATAGCAAAACAACTTAAAGTTGGTCAATCTATTTGTTTTCATCTTTTTAATTTTTTTTGTAAAACTCACATCTTCTGAAATGACAATAATTTGAAATTAACAAATTTTATAATTAACAATAACAGTTAAAATAGACCTACAGTATTGTTTTTCAAAAACAATTATCAGTATCTTTTACTTAGAGATAGTAAAGGCAACAGTAGTATACCGCTGTTCGAAATTCATAAATCGATTGAGAAAAAACAAATCCGGGTTACAAACTAAAAATGAGGGAAACACATTAAATATAAGAGGAGAACTACGACACAAACATTAAAATGTAAAACACACAGAAACGAACTATAATATAACAATGGCCATTTTCCTGACTTGGTACAGGACATTTTAAGAAAAAAATAGTGGGTTGAACCTGGTTTTGTGGCTAGCCAAACCTCCCGCTTTTATGGCAATGTTAAATATAACATTAAAATGACATCATTACATGACAGGACTACAATACAAATAAATGGGAGAACATACAGGACAGAGAAACATAAGAATAATAGCCAACAAAAGGTACCAGGTTTAAAATTAAACACGCAAGACGCGCGTTTTGCCCACAGAAGACCAACCAGTGAAGCCCAGATCAAAAAGGTCCGAAAGCCAAAACAAGCACAAAGTCGAAGAGCACTGAGGACCAAAAGTTCCAAAAAGCTGCGCCAAATACGGCTAAGGTTATATGACTGGGATAAGAAAATCCTTAGCATTTAGAACAATTCATACTTTTGCAAACAGCAAATTTATAAAAAAATGACTGTATAATAGATATACATGATAACACCGAAGTGGTGACTAACTACAGAATAAAAACGGATACATAAAACAACATAAACCAGCACATAAAAATTCACAGCCGAGTTAGCCAAAGAGATCAACGCAACAAAAAAAGTGACGTCACATTTGAATTTCTGAAATTTCCCCAAAATAGGAGAGAATTAGGATAGAATTCAAGATTTGGTTTAAAATACTCATATAACATTTATTAATAACAATGAAAATTACAATACTAATTAATATAAAATGTGGTAGTAATTAGATAATTAATAGTATTATCTAGCTATGTCGGTGTTTCTTCTAAATCAAACTGTAAACCAAATATATCGTATAAATTTAGTTGACCCAAACTAAAATCTAATTAATGAACTGGGTAATTAATTATCTTTACGAACTTAAGAGAAAAAAATAAGTAATATTGCAAATAAAGGCAAGAATCATAATTCATAAAAGAATTTTATAAAATTTGATCTGCCATTTTGCTAGGTTTTTTAAGGAGAAGTATTATATGAAACCAGACACTACAATGTAAGATTGTATAAGGTGATTCCAATGTTTAATATTTTTATAAAAAAAGTTAGTATTTTTTAATGTGTATAACATAAATTGTGCAATTGTTTACTCTGTGCTAGAACAGTAACTCTTGTGTCTACATTAGCTGTCCAGTTCCTGCACTGCTGATAACAAAACAAGTATATTCACCGGCATCAACAATGTCAGCATTTAATATGGTTAATGCAGGATTTTGATGTAACAACTGAATACCTTTAAGACCTCAAGATTGAAGACATATTTTTTTAAATCGTGTGTTAACTGTCAATTCAGTTTCAGATTTAAAAATGCTAGGCAACTGAGTTTCAAAACATGTGAAAACCAATGCATTTTAATGTTAAATTAACTTTTTGTATGATAAGTTCTGTGTCAATGCAAAAAGAATTCTTTAAGGGACGAAGCTAAATTTTAATTGAGGTTCTTGTGACAGCAAATAACTTTTTACAATAGCCCATTTGCATTGAAGATTTTGAAACGTAGAATATAGAACAAAATACACATTTTGGTTAATATTTTTTTAAATGCTTAAAAGATACTTGAAAACTTCAGTTGTTGCAAGAGGATGTACTAACGAATTGTGCAAACAAGGACAGTCAAATAATAAACTAAAGCTAATTAAAGTCTGTTCCACTTTTTATAAATAATTGAATACTAAAGAATAGCACATCTAAAAAAAAAACCATCATTCACAAATCTCAGAAAAACTTTTGTGAAATCTATATCAAATGGAACAAAGAATAAAACTGTTTCTTCATCAATTTTAAAATATGCCCAATAATTACTTCTTCGAGGAAATACTGTAGTTTCCTGTAATAGTTTCAATGAACATTAGTGATTATTTTGTGTTGTTTTTGTTTGTTTTTGTTTTTGTTTTTTTAACTCTTTGACTTACCTCATAGATACTTACTGGGCATACTCAAAAATGCATGACAGGGTTTTAGAACAATAAAATTTTGTGCATATTGAAGGAAATAAAATTATGTCCATAAGGAAGGAAATAAAATTCTATGCATAAGGAAGGAAATAAAATTATGTGCATAAGGAAGGACAGAATTTAATATTAAGACAGTCATAAATACTGTGAAATAATATTACATTTGTTTACAAAAATCATAAAAAGACATGTTAACAGGCCTACGGAACAGCATCAATTAGAACAAGATGAATATATGTCATTTTCACGTGGCACGTGCCCTCGACTCCAATCTTAATTGACTAGGATTGTCAGGTTTCCTACCAAATTAAAGGTCAGTGGTTCTCAACAGGCTCTCTTGCTTTTTCCACCAATAACAACTGACCGCCACAAAATAGCACAACAGTACTAAAAATGTAACTTCTACGTATAAAGAAGGACCTTTTAGTATTTTTGGTCAAAGGTCCTGGACCTTCCATTGCCTAACGTAAATTTGAACCCCTGTGACTTAATCACAAACTAAAGCACTGTTGACGCTGGCACCGCAGCTGCTTGTAACAGCACACATAAATCTCGCTAAATTGACTTCGTTGGGGCAAGACAAAAAGCAGTAGGAACAATAATTTCACTTTTAACAAATACGCATTTGATTACTTTCATTTATGTTCGTTCAAAAAACTTTCTAAGTCATCTATACTGATTTTCATTCAATGAGATAGTCATACAATTAACAAAAACATAATTACTATGTATCTAGCATTTATTAAATACTGCACTTTAATAATAATTATAAAAAAACTGTTTGTCAACAATTTGCTAAAGAAAGAATGCTAGCTCGTAAAATAAAGCTTTATCTTCAATAACAAAACAGTCGTGTTAGATAGGACTTTAAAGTATGCAAAATAATTACTTAACCACTGACGAAACTAGACATTATATAAAAATTGTATCTCTTATCTAGACCTATGACAAACTTCATCAATGCCCATTCCTAAACTAATCGAATTTTACAATCTCAGTAGGTTAAGCACCATTTAGCTTGGATCTTTACAGGATTGTTTTAGTTTTGATTTCTTTGCATTGTTAGCTGATTAGAATTAAGAAATACCCTTGGCTATGGTGAGAGTGTCATGTATCTCATTGTAAATTCATTTAAACTGAAGGTGTGTTTTAAAGATTTCCCATATGACTCATTTGGAATTAATGTATCTGGCTTCAAACTTTCCATGCAATAGGTTGTCATGTTTAGAAGGATTTAGAGTTTAAGCTCCAGATGAAGAGGAAAAATTTATTAATTTGAATACAAATTGCCTCTGGCAGCCATATATTTTCATCTTACATATATATTATTCCTTGATTTGCTTTGGCATAGCCATTCCTGAGGAAAAGATGAATATGTAGGTTGGTAATACAGTTTGAATCAATTGAAACCTATGTGGCATCATTGCCACCTTGTTGTTCTATTCAATCAGCATAAAATTAAGGTCTGCCAATCTCGGGGGGCCACTTCAATATTTAATTGATTGGAGGTGTCCTGGGGTTCTTTTACCCCAGCCTTTTGATATATTGAGTAGGTAAAATGTAACCTTTTCGCATATTGGTTGGGTTTCGTGTGGTGTGTTGGAAAAGTGGAGTATCAAATATTACACCTATTCAAATATTTTCAAGTTGGAAAATGTGTCTTATTCCAGTGGCACGTCCTATCACATTGGTTATAGGAATCCCCCCCCCCCTGAGGCCAATAGTCATTAAAAAAAACATTTACCTTGTAGTTTCGGGAGAGGATTATTTAAAGTAAACCAATCAGAATCATCCAATTAAAACAAAATGTGGAACATTCATTAAGTTTTGTATATGTGTTACCATTTGCATCAGCAATACCAATAACTATTAATAGGGTATGATTATTAAAAAGAAAAAAATATGACTAGTGGTGAATATAATTTATTTCACCATGACCTTCAATGATGCAGGATTTTTACTTTAATCTAAAGTTTAATACATACTATTTGAAATAACATTCAGAGTTGTTGCTGTAGCACATTGTTTGAAGCCAAACATCTATAGGTCCCAGCATCATTTGAATCTGCATTAAATATGGTGAGTGAAGGAACAGATGAAGTACTGCCGCTGTATTTGTTGGTTTTGGTATTTGATGTAATTGTAGTGACAGTACTTCCGACTATTCTCTGCCAGGTAACACTGGTTACAGTTGTAGTGGACGATACAGAACATATTAACATAATTGATCCTCCATTGTTCACAATGTAAGATGTCTGTTGAATTGTCACAGTTGGGGTACCTGGAGCTATGAATTAATTACAAGATTAAATCTTATTTCAAATGACTTAATATCAATTTGTTTTAAAGAAATCATACAATGATATGGGTCATTTTGAAAAAAAATGTTGAAATTTGAAATTGCTAAATCAAATCAAAGTTCCTAGTTTTAATTATCACCTTTATAGGAAAATCAAAACAAACAATACTTCTTGATCACTATATAAATCTTAATGATATTATACAAGAATATATTAAAACATTCTTTGATAGGTGATGCAATATTTTGTCTATCCTGTTACCATTTTCAAAAGGAGAAAAGATCTCGATAAAACTTTTAGCTTGTTTTTAATGAAATATTGTGATTTTCTTGAAAAAACTTCTATTTTGGCTGTGTATTGATACATTGTTTGTCAATTTTCTATGTTTAGTTCTATCCTGTTTCTAGTATTGTCTATCCTGTTACAAATAGAAACATTACAAATTGTGTGTGCTAAATTGTCAAAGATAAAAGTGTTGTGACCTGTAAAGGAGTTCAAACATTTCATTATGCTTATAAAAATATATCTATATACTATACAAAGACATTTAAGTAAAAAGTATTCTATACTTTTACTTTAACCATAGTCACAGAATATACAAATTTCTATATTTATGAATTGTGTTGTGAATAAATACTCCCTTTTTTGCAGTGATAATGTTTTGTTTTTTTTTTACAAGTATAATATTGTCTTAATTAACAAATGTGTTCGTAACAGCAAAGACATGATAAAAGACTATGCACTCATTTTTGATTACTTAATTTCTTGAATTTTCTTTCTCTTCAATACTATTAAAAAGATTCTAGGCTCTGAAGTTTACTCATCATCTTTTTATTGTTAAATTTGTTTTTAAAATTCTTTAATAACAGCAAATTTGTTTTTAAATTCATTTTTTTCAAGGGGAAATATCCTTTTCAGGTTAACTCAATAACAGGCATGTATAAGTTAGTACATACATCCTTGGTTACATAGACCGTTGTGATTTCTAAAGAGTACTGTTAATTCAGAAATTATTGCATGCTTTCAGTTTGTAATTTAGACATGACAGACCAAAATGTGAGAATTTCAGTTAGAAGAAAAGCTGCATACAAATATATTTGTCAGATTTTAGAATGTGCGTTTTATCCTTGGTTACATAGACTATTGTGATTTCTTAAGAGTTCTGTAAATTCCGAAATTATTGCGTGCTTTTAGTTTGTAATTTAGACATGACAGACCAAAGTGTGAGAATTTTGTTTACAGGAAAAGCTGCATACAAATATATTTGTCAGATTTTAAAATGTAAGTTTTACTATAATTGCAAATATCACCCAGTCACATTATTCTCATTAAACAAAAATCTCGCAATAATTTCTGAATTTACAGTAAATATTTTTTGGTAATTATGAAAAGATGTTAACTAAAATACAGGTCAATCCAAAAGGTACGGTCAATATGCAATTTTTCACTGGATATGTTATGAAATAATAGCTATTTGGCTAAAGGGATATGTTTTGAAATAATATCTATTTAGCTGAATGTTCTATCATTTCTATCAATAGGTTGAACCCATAAGTTCTTAATGACACTGCCATAATTGATCATTCAGGCATAGTTTGGTTCTAATTTGCCCTAAAGAATCATTCAGCAAAGCTTCATTCAAAATGGACCTAATTGAAAGTTTGGTTCAACTGGAACTAAACGATCATTCAGGAAAAGCTTGGTTAAAACTGGACGTTAAAGAATCATTCAGGCAAAGCTTGGTTTAAACTGGACCTTAAAGGATCAATCAGGCAAAGCTTGGTTCAAATTGGACCTAAAGTACCATTCAGGCAAAGCACGGTTCAAACTGGACCTTAAAGTATCTTCAGGCAAAGCTTGGTTCAAACTGGATTTAAAGTACTATTCAAGCAAAGCTTGGTTTAAAATTGACCTTAAATGATCATTAAGGCAAAGCTTGGTTGAAACTGGACCAAAGTATCATTCTAAAACACTTGGTTTAAACTGGACCTTAAATAATTCAGGCAAAGCATGGTTCAAACTGGACTTTAATGGATCAACCAGGCAAAGCTTTCTTCTTACTGGAACTTAAAGGATTATTCGGGCAAAGCTTGCTTCAACTGAGACTAAAGGATCATTCAGGCAAAGCTGTGATCAAATTGGACCTTAAGAATCACTCAGGCAAAGCTTGGTTCAAACTGGATCCTAAAGTATCATTTAGGCAAAGCTTGGTTCAAACTGGACCGTTATGATCATTCAGGCAAAGCTTGGTTCAAACTGGACCGTTAGGATCATTCAGGCAAAGTTTGGTTCAGTTTAACATGAATGTACCATTCAGGCAAACATAACTTCAATCTGGCCCATGATAACCTTAAGTTAGTATTCAGTTTAACACTAAAACAACTATAAAAATATTTCACTGAGAAAGATTCTAATGCTCTCTATAGTTAAAGTGTATCGAACATCTTCCCTAATAAAAATTAAGAACAGTTTATTATATATTTTCTTTATAAAGTCTTTCTAAAATATAATGTCTGAAATAAATAACAAAAAATTCTTTGTCATCAAAAATCAGATAAGAAATCAATCAAAGTAACATTTACTTTTGCCAACCTGTTCCTTAATATCGCAAAAATTCTATTGAAATTTCAGGAGCATTACACTAATAAGTTTTTATTTCTGATAGATGATATTTTGAAATAAACAGGTCACATAATCCATTCTGCCCCAAGGTTCTGATGGACTTTTTTTAAATCATACCATTTGAATAGTACCTATCTTCCATTTTTTTCATTTTATCTTAAACTTTTTTTCTCGTAATAACATATTAAGGGTAGTGTTAACTGTAATAATGCATAAAGCAATTATTTAGTATTTGACATCTCCATATGTCCTTGAACAATATTTAGTTCAAATAAGGTATGTAATAATTTGTACCAACCGTTATTGCAATAAATGTCAATAATATTTCTGCACAATTTATATTTACACTTTATTTACAAAGCCTGACTGCCAAATACTTCATAAAAACTGTTTTACCTAAAAGAGCTGTGGAAATTTGTTGTACAATATCAAGATTTTAAAAGCCTCAGGTAGGCTGTTATCATCTTTTATTTTCTTTCATTTTTCCTTTAAATGCAAAACATTTAGTAATATAATGTCTTTCAATGCATGAATGAATTTCTTTTAATTTGAATATTCTATAACACCACAACGCTTTGTGGATTTTCCAAAATATGAATTAACCGGTATACTGAACATTTCAATAAAACAAACAATGTCTTTTCCAAGAAAAATCCCTACCCATCGTGAATGAAATAAAACCTTTTGTTTTTATATCTATAGGTATACATATATTGGCAATACCTCAGTACCATAGTAGAGATAGAAAGTGTGTGCTTAATTTATTAAACATCGTGCACTGACTCAATTTTACTGGATATAAAAATACCCACTAGTACTTCAAAGGGAAATGTAATTCACTCCAATGGCCATAATCAGGTAAACAAATATGTAAATAATGTAGAGCAAAACTCATATGTTCTATCTAACTTCTCATTACATATTCATATATCAAATATCATCACAACATCTCCATGGTTAATGGACAGCAAATGAAAACAGTTCCAATGGCCACAAACATGTCAAATTTTAAGTAATTCAATTAGACAAAAATGATTTCTAAGGAATACTGTAAAAATGTTATTCAATGTAATTTTGTATTGGCTATAATTGATTAAAAGTTTGTTAACAGGAACAGAACGCACACATAATCTAAAACAAATCATAATATAATTACAAGTATTAGCTTTTCAAAAAACTTGTGTGACTTTAGATTCTCTTGAGAAGTGCCTCACTAGAAGGTAGTGCATTTTCTGGTATCATACATTGTAGCCTAAAGACTTCAGTTAAGGACATACTTTAATTTATTTAGGTGGGGAATTACTATTGATAAGAAAATCCAGTATATAATATGAAATTATGGTAATCAACATATATACAACATATTTAGTTTCTCCACTTTTGTTGCTGTTTGGATATCAAGTTTTTATAGCTAAACCTTGAAGCCCATCTGTTGGATATATATTATTATTCTTTTATGATCAAACTCAACTACTTTTCATCTAAATTTCGATATTGACTATATGAAGGCAGAGTACAGAACCAAGTACAGGTGATTGACTAAAATAATTTCCGACACAAGGAAAATAAATCATATACGTCTGATGAAAAAATTAAACCATAGGAAAACCAGAACCAATATGTATTGGTACCACATCTCAACCAAAACGAACCTGATTTAAAAAGTATCTCATTTCCATGGGAAAAATGATTCATTCACCCTAAATAAAACCTCAAAAAGTGTATCAGTCGCTTGTCTTGCTGTTAAAGAAAAAATAGTCAAAATGCAAAGAAAAGTGTACAAATCGTCATTAAAGGACACTTACACTATAAGGAGTTTACTGACAATTTAAGGTTTGATGATATATTTGCAAATCTTCCCTTGCTTATTTGTTTCGCTGTTTTTGTTCCCCTTTAGAGATTCGACTGATGATTTCAGCCACTTTGATACATTTTTAAATCTTGTCCTGCTGATCGTTTTCTCTTTTTCAGTGTCTCTTCATATGTTATGGTTTTTAAGATGGTAATAAAAATAGTACAAAATAATGGTAATAATTGTCATTTAAGGGCAATTACTTATATAAGGAGTCGACCAACGAATTCACCGATGAGAAAAATGTAGATCTTGTTTTGCTGATAATTCATTCAAAAATTTGTCTCTATCTATTATAGTTTTCAAGATTACTGGCAAAATTGGAAAAACATGGAAAAGCATGTTGATTAAAACTGGCAATTCAAACTCCTATGAAAAAAGTAAAATCACAAAAATAACGAACTCCGAGGAAAATTTAAAACGGAAAGTCCGTAATCAAATGGCAAAATCAAAAGCTCAAACACATCAAACGAATGGATAACAACTGTCATATTCCTGACTTGGTACAGGCATTTTCTTATGTAGAAAATGGTGGATTAAACCTGGTTTAATAGCTAGCCAAACCTCTCACTTGTACGACAGTCGCATAAAATTCCATTATATTGACAACGATGTGTAAGCAAAACAAACAAAAACAATAAGTAAAAAAAGACATATGCCAGTTTTGGTGTAAAAAGAGTGTTGGTAGATCTAACATTTTTAACATTTCTGCCGTGTAAGATTTTCTCTATGTATAGGGATATCCAAATTTAAAACCAAAACTTCACGTGTGGTCAGTTAACATCTGAAAAGATTCTATCACAGATTTCAACACTTTATGTGTTTCCTTTAAAGCTAATGGTATCTCAGCTAACAAGATGGTTTAATGGTGTGTTCAAGGCCATGCTATTGGTTGATACACACACCCCCTTTCCCAATCACAATACATAAAAAATGTACTACTCTACACAAAATATGCAAACAAGCTGGTACTCCAGAGTAGGAGAGATAAAATAACAACGAGGAGACAAAGAAATCAACCAAGATACAATGTATATTAAATTGCCTACAACTACTTCTTTATAATAGTATATTTGTACTGATCTAATTACCATTCAAACTGGGATAAGTACAGTTTAACTGACTGTCATTTGCCTAAAGGCAAATATTTTACATGTATGCATGTATTCAGCCCAGTTAAGAAAACCTAAAGATGTCATGGAAATGCTTGACATTTCAGCGAGGTTAGAGTTTTCCTTTAATGTTGAAGGAGTCACTGTGACTTTAAGATGAAAAACAGCATGTTTTTTTCATGTGTGTGTAGTGAATTTGTGTCACGAATTGTAAGATAATTTATACAATATACTTTCTTTTCCATTGTGTCTATAATATAGCGTATTTACTTAAAGATATCGGGATATGGGTACTTAGTGAAATCTAAACAGGAAGTTGTAATAAAATTAAAAAACCAACACGGACGAGAAATAAAGACAGCGAAATGTCCGGACTTAAATCAAATCTTTATTTGGGTAAGTCGATGCAAGCATATGATCGGTATTGTGTCTTATACTGTTAGAGGCATATAATGTTTAACAATCATGTTATATTAATGTGTAAACACGTTAATTATGAGCTATGAAAGTACAGTAGGTCGTGCATTTTTCCGAGTAGGTTTAACAAAATTTCAAACAAATATACTTTACAGTGGGTTAGCATTCGTTAGATGTCACTTTCCTATAGATTAACAACTGTTGGTTATATTGATAATTTAGAATCTTCGATAAAGCTGGAGTACGAATGCTGTGATAATTAATTCGTTTTGTGTGTCATTTGTATGCAAGAGTGACATCCCTTTGTACTATGTTTCAATTCCAAAAAGTCTATCGAATCAATGCGTGTATTGTCTCCCTTGAACAGGTTCATAATTTAACCTTTACTTATAGTTATTTGATTTAATTTTAGTTCATTACAAAATTTGTAAATCTAAAAGATCTTAGTATTTATCATTGGTTTATTAGACATTTATGTATATCTATAATTTCATTTATTTGTTTTGAAACGTATAAATTTGTTACATACCAATGTAAAGAACCTTTCATAATTTTATAAATATTATTTAGCTACGAATTAAATTACTTAATTTGATGAGGCAATCTACTGTTAGAGAACATATATTGTATCTGCCTCAAACGAATCCTAGAATTGTTTATTTTTAAGCCGTATTTTGGTAATACATAATATAAAAATTAATCTGTCTACTTTTAATTTAAGTTAAAGTATTCACGTTAATAACACATGTTTCATTCTGCTGTCAAGAATACACTGTTTTAAGTTGTTGTCTGCGTCATTAAACCTCCAACAGCATTGATCCCGCTACTTGTAAAAGCATTTATTGTTTTAATATGGTGTATATAATTCTGACAGAATTCATATAAAGCAGACATATTGCCTTAATTTATCTGCATTACTTGATTCCCTAAGGTAAAACCTCCTTTACACAAACACACACAAGATACACATACGCACAAACACAAAACCAGAACACATTAACCACCACCTTATTCCAGAAATTAATATCAAATGCTTAAGTGAGAGAAATTATAATTGAAACCTCAATAAAACATTTTAACTTTTTTTAAAAAGACTATATTTGAAAGCCGAATTATATTATCTCCCCATAATGATAAAATTTTGGGAAAATTTACCAGAGTTATCTTACATTAATCACAGAGAGGCGCTAGCACACAATTTTTTGATTAGACCTTAATTAACGTTAAAACATCTTTCCGCTAAAAATGAATGTTACTTTATTAAAATATAAGGACTTAGTTAGCCAAATCTACTAATTTTATTTGTTATGAATTTTTATGGCAATAAATAAACATGCTGCATAATATAATAATTATTCATTCCTTGGTGTGTGGAGATGGGACTCAGCAAAATCTGTTAAACTAAAAAAATAATGTAAAAGAATCACACTTACTGTTTACAGCCAATGCTGCAATAGTAGGACTTTGTCCTGTTCCAAAGGCATTACTTGCGAAACAATGGTAAGTGCCCTGGTCATTACTGTCTGTATTCAATATGGTAAGTCCTGGTACAGATGTAGTAGAACCATTGTACTTGTTTGTATTTGTATTGGAATTAATGGTGGTAATAAATCCATTCGAAGTGCGCTGCCAAAATACTGAGTTAAGTGCAGAGGAAGACGTTATTAAACATGCTAATGTTACTTGTCCTCCAGCATTGATTGAGTAAGTTGTAATTGGAATAGAGACTGTTGGAACTCCACCTGATGATAAGAAATTCAATGACAAAACTCAGACTAAGTTTCACAAGGATCATCCGGAAAAATATATAAGACTTACTTTAAGTGCAATGTTCAAATAACTCAATTAATAATTGATCAGACCTAAAATTTACAATCATTCGAATAAATAGGGTGAGGTCACTAAATTATTTTTTTGGTTGATATTTCACAATAATTTAATTTTGGATGTAACGCGTCTTCTGATTGGCTGACGTTGTTTTGTTTATCAGCTCATAGACATAATTCTGTCACGTGACCGTGACGTCATCAACGTTTTTTCATGGTTTACTCCGGTTTAAAATGGAATTTAGAATTAAATTATAAGAAATGACTGTAATATTTTTTTCTGTCTATTCGAAATAACATAAAAAATGTGGTGCACACTTTAAAATAACCCGCTACGCGGGTTATTCAGTGTGCACCACATTTTTGATGTTATTTCTTTATAGACAGAAAAAATATTACAGTCATTCCTTAAATATTTTATTTTTCATATATGTAAGTTGTCAACAAGGTCTTGACAAACTTGAAATTCATCAGCAGCTAAGAAAGTTAATTTGATCTTCAAAACATTGCTACTGTGGCAGGTATATGGATGTATTCATTTTATTGATTACCATTTTTTATGGATTGAGGTCAATTTGCATTTTTCTGCATATTTGAATTCATGGTTGTGCAAAAGTTTGTGTAGAAGACTATAGAAAATATACACTTCGTTGAACATTCAAATTCATGGTTTATCTATACCCATGAAATCTACAAAATTGATATCCTCCCAATAACATTTAACCCACAGTATTCCTTCCAATGCATGTAAACAAATTACTAAGACCTATTTGTTTGTAGAATCCTTATTCCTTAAGTGAACTAGTTCAACCCAGACTTGACATTTATGTTTCAATAACAAATTAGACTGATTGATTGACTGTTGTTTGCTTATCGTTTAGTAGCAAATTTACATGCACGTTCGAGCAGTGAATAGATCACCAAAAATCCAATAGGTTGGTTCTGCTTGTGGTTCACTTGGGTATGAGGGGCAGGAATTTCTACTAATACTGGATAAAAAGGTATACCGCAGGCCACCTTTGGACCCCTCATAAAGTTGTTATAATAAAATTTGTTAATTAATCTCCTGTTAGAAAGTTAAAAAAAAATATGTCACGTTATATATTACACTAACAACGACAATGTCTACACAAGATCTGACTCAATACCAAATCTCCAAATAGCAAAAACATTAGGCTATAGCATAAGTCAACCACTAACAAGGTTCCGGACTTAAAACAAGCAAATACATATAGTTTTTGAGATCTCAAATGTTTCATCATGTCAATTTGATGCAAATCATGGTACATTCATACATCTGTAACTTCTTTTTCCCCAAACGAATTTCTGAAAAAATTGTGTCATTGATTATTTGTTCAATTTCTACTGGGACAATATGTGAGGATATTTATTCTTATAATTAAAAATAATCTCAAAGGAAAATGGAAGCTTAACCCTTTCACGTTTCACCAAATTGGACCTTAACTCATAGAAAAGACACTATCCAAATTCAATCGAATATAGCATTCGCACCAAACCTTACATAAAGGTCATTGATGATCCATATGAAAGATAATTGATTGAATATTTCTGAAATTTTAATATTTCAGAAAATTTGTTTTTTTAAGTCACATTGTATCTTTCCAAAAATCAAGTGACATGCTAAAACTATAGAAAAAATACAAAATTCTTTTCACAATACAAAAGTCGTGTGGAGACATTTTTATGCGCTAATAGGATATAGTTTTGCAAACTCAAATTAAAAACGATGTTAGTTTGTTTTTAAAGAATTTGTGTCCTAATTGCACCCCCCCCCCCTTCCTTCATTTTGTCATTGCTACAGTCCAGTATGGGCCACAACACCAAGTTATTATTGGTCATTCATTGAATCTTTACTTTTGAAAGGCTATATTTTGTTTGCTGCTTGAATTGACATGATTAAGCCGTAAATTTGTGTCAAGTATTAGATTTGGACGAAAAAAACTTTTGAAGTCCGTTATTTTTCATGTTGCAGGCATCAACATTGCGAGTCATAAAGCACGTATTTCCTTTGTCTTTACCATTATGACAACTTTTCTGTTTCTATCAGACTTGAGTCATTGCTTTGACACCAAAACTATATCCTATAAGCGCATAAAAATGTCTCCACACGACTTTTGTATTGTGAAAAGAATTTTGTATTTTTTCTATAGTTTTAGCATGTCACGTGATTTTTGGAAAGATACAATGTGACTTAAAAAAACTAATTTTCTGAAATATTAAAATTTCAGAAATATTCAATCAATTATCTTTCATATGGATCATCAATGACCTTTATGTAAGGTTTGGTGCGAATGCTATATTCGATTGAATTTGGATAGTGTCTTTTCTATGAGTTAAGGTCCAATTTGGTGAAACGTGAAAGGGTTAAGCTTCCATTTTCCTTTGAGATTATTTTTAATTATAAGAATAAATATCCTCACATATTGTCCCAGTAGAAATTGAACAAATAATCAATGACACAATTTTTTCAGAAATTCGTTTGGGGAAAAAGAAGTTACAGATGTATGAATGTACCATGATTTGCATCAAATTGACATGATGAAACATTTGAGATCTCAAAAACTATATGTATTTGCTTGTTTTAAGTCCGGAACCTTGTTAGTGGTTGACTTATGCTATAGCTTAATGTTTTTGCTATTTGGAGATTTGGTATTGAGTCAGATCTTGTGTAGACATTGTCGTTGTTAGTGTAATATATAACGTGACATATTTTTTTTTTAACTTTCTAACAGGAGATTAATTAACAAATTTTATTATAACAACTTTATGAGGGGTCCAAAGGTGGCCTGCGGTATACCTTTTTATCCAGTATTAGTAGAAATTCCTGCCCCTCATACCCAAGTGAACCACAAGCAGAACCAACCTATTGGATTTTTGGTGATCTATTCACTACTCGAACGTGCATGTAAATTTGCTACTAAACGATAAGCAAACAACAGTCAATCAATCAGTCTAATTTGTTATTGAAACATAAATGTCAAGTCTGGGTTGAACTAGTTCACTTAAGGAATAAAGATTCTACAAACAAATAGGTCTTAGTAATTTGTTTACATGCATTGGAAAGAATACTGTGGGTTAAATGTTATTGGGAGGATATCAATTTTGTAGATTTCATGGGTATAGATAAACCATGAATTTGAATGTTCAACGAAGTGTATATTTTCTATAGTCTTCTACACAAACTTTTGCACAACCATGAATTCAAATATGCAGAAAAATGCAAATTGACCTCAATCCATAAAAAATGGTAATCAATAAAATGAATACATCCATATACCTGCCACAGTAGCAATGTTTTGAAGATCAAATTAACTTTCTTAGCTGCTGATGAATTTCAAGTTTGTCAAGACCTTGTTGACAACTTACATATATGAAAAATAAAATATTTAAGGAATGACTGTAATATTTTTCTGTCTATGAAGAAATAACACCAAAAATGTGGTGCACACTGAATAACCCGCGTAGCGGGTTATTTTAAAGTGTGCACCACATTTTTTTATGTTATTTCGAATAGACAGAAAAAAATATTACAGTCATTCCTTAAATATTTTATTTTTCAGGACTCTCGTTTTGAAATTAAAAGTTAAGTTATGTAACATTTAATATAGGACATTAATTTTTCACCTCCGGCTTTGAGATCTACCTGCTGCGGGTTGGTACATCTTTCCATTGCACCACTGGAATACCAGGTCAAAATGTCGAAAATTTTAGTAGTTTACTCTACCATTAACGATGTGAGAGTAAAAAAAAAACAAAAAAACAGCCTGTTTTCGTTTAGAAATTAAGTGTTGACATAACATATAATTGTTGCCAATTCCATTATTTTAAACAAAAATAGGAGGATACTTAGTCTGCCATTTTTCTTGACTTATGCCTGTACCTTCATTTCAACAAAGGTGTTTTCAGCATTACTAGGAGCAAGCCCTTAAGAAACAATGTTTTGTTACTTCTATTTCAACTTCGCTAAAATAAATTATGATATTTTGAGGGTTTTTGTCTCTTTTTCAATTATTTGCTAAGAAATGACCACAAATTTTGAGTGCATTTCAAATTTATGATTGCGTTGGTACACTTTAAACTACTTATTAAACTTATGTTCATTTTTAATCATAATTTGAATAGTTTTCTTTCAAAATACACGGTATAGTTAATAAAAAAAAGTCATATGGCCCCCGAAATCAACAGTATACTTTACCATACTCTATGGAAATATTGTGTTCAAATTATTAAAAAAAACGGTGTTTACGGGATAAAATCTTGTCAGTAAGAGGCGATTTGATATCAAACAGTACTTGGAAGAAGTTTAAAAGGCACAATGAATCATAAAACTGTGATATAGAGTATTGATGTGAGCCCTTAACCACTACTGTACGTAAACAAAAGTCAGAGATTCAAGACTTTACGCAAACTAGTTGCTCGAAAACTTAGCCAATCGGTACGAAAGTATCGATGGGAACGTGAAGGGGTTAAAGAAATGAATTCTTATACTACATAGCAAAACAACTTAAAAGTGGTTAATCTCTTAAATTTCAACGTTTTTTTATTTTTTTTTTTGTAAAACTCACATTTGCTGAAATGACAATAATTTGAAATTAACAGATTTCATAATAAGCAATAACAGTTAAGATAGAAGTACAGTAGTTTTTTTTTTCAAAAACAATTATCAGTGTCTTTAACTTACAGATAGTAATATTAAGAAATATAGGCAAGTATGATGTTTATAATATAAATTGTACATGTGCTTACTTTGTGCCAGAACTGTAACTCTATGTTACTCTACCCAGTTCCTGCACTGTTGACAGCAAAACAAGTATTGTCACCGGTATCAACAATCTCAGTATTTAATATGGTTAATGCAGGATTTGTTGTGATACTACCAGAATATTTATTGTTAGGATTATTTACAGTTGGGTTTATAGTAGTTATAGTACCACTTGAGTTTCTCCTCTAGTAAATAAACATTAGTTCCAGGCTGGGGGATACAGTACAATTAAGTGTTACTTAGTTTCCTTGCCTCACATTAATGGCACTATTGAGAATGATTACAGTTGTTAAATAGGGGAACATATTTAAAGTACACAGTTATGTCTGCAAACATTAAATTTTATGCATCAACTAAATACATCAACTTAAAGTTTGTTCCACATTTTATAAATAATCGAAATACTTTAAAAACAAGAATATGTCCATAGTACTCGGATGCCCCACTCGCACTATCATTTTCTATGTTCAGTGGACCGTGAAATTGAGGTCAAAACTCTACAATGAGAAAAAGCATATTATTGGGAACATGTGTACTAAGTTTTAAGTTGATTAGACTTTAACTTCATCAAAAACTACCTTGATCAAAAACTTTAACCAAAATCTTCAACCTGATGCGGGACAGACGGAGAGACGAACGAACGAACGGACGCAAAGAACGAAAAGCATAATGCCCCTAGGTGGGGCATAAAAAAGGTAGCATGCATTACCTCTCTTATCAAATGCAAGAACCACCACTGGAGTCTCTATCATATTAAAATCAGGTCTTCAATTGCACATGCTTCATGATATATAATGAGTGGTGCTGATGAAGTGACCTTTTAAGTTAAACACCAACCCATCATCATCATTATCATTTAAAGCTTAAATAAAATTAACGAAAAGACTAGTCCATTACATTTGAAAAAAACCCACACTGTTCATATATTATCTGCATACTTGAAGTCGTTCAACAAAATCTTGAAAAGTGGAAAGGGGGGGGGGGGGGGGGGATGTAACAATCAAATCAACAACAACGTTGCCTCTGGTGGTCATGATTTGATATACACAATACATTTTAAAAGATCCTTTCATAATTCATTCCTCCAAGTTTTGTTAAGACCAATGTTGCATTTCAGAGAAAACGAAAATGGGCACAGTATAATTACAATGACACACAACTATATCTGACAAATAGACTTATGGTCAAGTTGAGATAAATATTTTTTCGACTCTGCTGAACTGAAACTAATTAAATGATCTAACTGTACAAAAAGCATTGAATTCTGTTTTAATGTTATTGGACTGCATAAAAGGATAAAATCAGACATTTCTGAGTGAGCAACATCTAGATATAAAATAATGCAGAATAGACACATCACATTACTTACTATTTGAGATAACAGAGAGACTTGCTGTGGTAGCACTTTGTCCTGTACCAGGACTGTTTGAAGCAAAACATCATTTTACTGCAAGAAAATGACCTCTAATTCTGTTTAAATTTTTTGTTTGTAGTGCATACAATGATTAAATGAGGAATATCAGTACTTAATCTAGATAATAGATAGTGCTACTACTAGATATAAAATAATACAGAATGAATATAAACATTACTTACTATTTGAGGTAACAGATAGACTTGCTGTGTTAGCACTTTGTCCTGTACCAGCACTATTTGAAGCAAAACATCTATATGTTCCAGCATCATTTGAATCTGCATTGAATATGTCGAGCGATGGATTAGATGAAGTACTGCCGCTCTATTTGTTGGTGTTGGTATTGGATGTGATTGTAGTGATAGTACTACCGACTGTCCTCTGCCAGGTTACACTTGTTACAGTTGTTGTTGACGATACAGTACATGCCAAGGTCACAGAACTTCCCGAATTGACTGAGTAGGATGTCTGTGTAATGGTCACTGTTGGAACAGCTGTAACTTAACGAACAATTATATTTTATAGGAATTTTCGACTCTGTGTGATATGAAGGTGTTATGGAGTTGGGATATTCAAACATGCCCCCTGGTAGTTGTATGTTTATCTGACACAATAAATTCTGAAATATTATTTCATTACTGGTAATTCTCCCACAAATCATTGTTTAGACTGCAGAGTTTCCATGATGACAGTTAATTACCTGCTACAGTTTTCAGAGAATTTCAGAGAAAATGAAAATGTGCAAAATCGTAATACAATGCAGCACAACAATAGCTGAAAAATATGAGGTAAAATATTGTTTTAAATTCTACTGTACGGAAACTAATTTAATCATTTCACTGCAAAAAAAATGACCCCTAATTCTGCTTGAAATGTTTGTATGTATTGGATAAAAGGGTAAAATGAGGAATATCAGTACTAAATCTAGATAATAGATAGTGCTACTACTAGATATAAAATAATACAGAATGAATATAAACATTACTTACTATTTGAGGTAACAGACAGACTTGCTGTGTTAGCACTTTGTCCTGTACCAGCACTGTTTGAAGCAAAACATCTATAGGTTCCAGCATCATTTGAATCGGCATTGAATATGGTGAGTGAAGGAGTAGATGAAGTACTGCCGCTGTATTTGTTGGTGTTGGTATTGGATGTGATTGTAGTGATAGCACTATTGACTGTTCTCTGCCAGGTTACACTTGTTACAGTTGTTGTTGACGATACAGTACATGCCAAGGTCACAGAACTTCCTGAATTGACTGAGTAGGATGGCTGTGTAATGGTCACTGTTGGAACAGCTGTAACAGAACGACAAATTGCATTTTATAGGAATTTTCGACTCTGTGTGATATGAAGTTGTTATGGAGTTGTGAGATACAAGAATGGCCTCTGGTGGTTATTTTTTATCTGACACAATAAATTCTGAAAGATTATTTCAATACTGGTAATTCTCCCACAAATTGTTGTTTAGACTGCAGAATTTCCATGATGATAGTTAATTACCTGCTATAGTTTTCAGAGAATTTCAGAGAAAATGAAAATGTGCAAAATCATATTACAATGAAGCAGAACTATAGCTGAAAAATAGACTTTTGATCGAGTTGAGATAAAATATTGTTTTAAATTCTACTGTACTGAAACTAATTTAATAATTTTACTGCAAAAAATAACCTCTAAATCTGTTTAAATTTTTTGTTTGTAGTGCATACAATGATTAAATGAGGAATATCAGTACTTAATCTAGATAATAGATAGTGCTACTACTAGATATAAAATAATAAAGAATGAATTTAAACATTACTTACTATTTGAGGTAACAGACAGACTTGCTGTGTTAGCACTTTGTCCTGTACCAGCACTGTTTGAAGCAAAACATCTATATATTCCAGCATCATTTGAATCTGCATTGAATATGGTGAGCGATGGATTAGATGAAGTACTGCCGCTGTATTTGTTGGTGTTGGTATTGGATGTGATTGTAGTGATAGCACTATTGACTGTTCTCTGCCAGGTTACACTTGTTACAGTTGTTGTTGACGATACAGTACATGCCAAGGTCACAGAACTTCCCGAATTGACTGAGTAGGATATCTGTGTAATGGTCACTGTTGGAACAGCTGTAACATAACGAACAATTGTATTTTATAGGAATTTTCGACTCTGTGTGATATGAAGGTGTTATGGAGTTGGGATATTCAAACATGCCCCCTGGTAGTTGTATGTTTATCTGACACAATAAATTCTGAAATATTATTTCATTACTGGTAATTCTCCCACAAATCATTGTTTAGACTGCAGAGTTTCCATGATGATAGTTAATTACCTGCTATAGTTTTCAGAGAATTTCAGAGAAAATGAAAATGTGCAAAATCGTAATACAATGCAGCACAACAATAGCTGAAAAATATGAGGTAAAATATTGTTTTAAATTCTACTGTACGGAAACTAATTTAATCATTTCACTGCAAAAAAATGACCCCTAATTCTGCTTGAAATGTTTGTATGTATTGGATAAAAGGGTAAAATGAGGAATATCAGTACTAAATCTAGATAATAGATAGTGCTACTACTAGATATAAAATAATACAGAATGAATATAAACATTACTTACTATTTGAGGTAACAGACAGACTTGCTGTGTTAGCACTTTGTCCTGTACCAGCACTGTTTGAAGCAAAACATCTATAGGTTCCAGCATCATTTGAATCGGCATTGAATATGGTGAGTGAAGGAGTAGATGAAGTACTGCCGCTGTATTTGTTGGTGTTGGTATTGGATGTGATTGTAGTGATAGCACTATTGACTGTTCTCTGCCAGGTTACACTTGTTACAGTTGTTGTTGACGATACAGTACATGCCAAGGTCACAGAACTTCCTGAATTGACTGAGTAGGATGGCTGTGTAATGGTCACTGTTGGAACAGCTGTAACAGAACGACAAATTGCATTTTATAGGAATTTTCGACTCTGTGTGATATGAAGTTGTTATGGAGTTGTGAGATACAAGAATGGCCTCTGGTGGTTATTTTTTATCTGACACAATAAATTCTGAAAGATTATTTCAATACTGGTAATTCTCCCACAAATTGTTGTTTAGACTGCAGAATTTCCATGATGATAGTTAATTACCTGCTATAGTTTTCAGAGAATATCAGAGAAAATGAAAATGTGCAAAATCATATTACAATGAAGCAGAACTATAGCTGAAAAATAGACTTTTGATCGAGTTGAGATAAAATATTGTTTTAAATTCTACTGTACTGAAACTAATTTAATAATTTTACTGCAAAAAATAACCTCTAAATCTGTTTAAATTTTTTGTTTGTAGTGCATACAATGATTAAATGAGGAATATCAGTACTTAATCTAGATAATAGATAGTGCTACTACTAGATATAAAATAATACAGAATGAATTTAAACATTACTTACTATTTGAGGTAACAGACAGACTTGCTGTGTTAGCACTTTGTCCTGTACCAGCACTGTTTGAAGCAAAACATCTATATATTCCAGCATCCTTTGAATCTGCATTGAATATGGTGAGCGATGGATTAGATGAAGTACTGCCGCTGTATTTGTTTGTGTTGGTATTGGATGTGATTGTAGTGATAGCACTATTGACTGTTCTCTGCCAGGTTACACTTGTTACAGTTGTTGTTGACGATACAGTACATGCCAAGGTCACAGAACTTCCCGAATTGACTGAGTAGGATATCTGTGTAATGGTCACTGTTGGAACAGCTGTAACATAACGAACAATTGTAATTTATAGGAATTTTCGACTCTGTGTGATATGAAGGTGTTATGGAGTTGGGATATTCAAACATGCCCCCTGGTAGTTGTATGTTTATCTGACACAATAAATTCTGAAATATTATTTCATTACTGGTAATTCTCCCACAAATCATTGTTTAGACTGCAGAGTTTCCATGATGATAGTTAATTACCTGCTATAGTTTTCAGAGAATTTCAGAGAAAATGAAAATGTGCAAAATCGTAATACAATGCAGCACAACAATAGCTGAAAATTTATGGTAAAATATTGTTTTAAATTCTACTGTACGGAAACTAATTTAATCATTTCACTGCAAAAAAATGACCCCTAATTCTGCTTGAAATGTTTGTATGTATTGGATAAAAGGGTAAAATGAGGAATATCAGTACTAAATCTAGATAATAGATAGTGCTACTACTAGATATAAAATAATACAGAATGAATATAAACATTACTTACTATTTGAGGTAACAGACAAACTTGCTGTGTTAGCACTTTGTCCTGTACCAGCACTGTTTGAAGCAAAACATCTATAGGTTCCAGCATCATTTGAATCTGCATTGAATATGGTGAGTGAAGGAGTAGATGAAGTACTGCCGCTGTATTTGTTGGTGTTGGTATTGGATGTGATTGTAGTGATAGCACTATTGACTGTTCTCTGCCAGGTTACACTTGTTACAGTTGTTGTTGACGATACAGTACATGCCAAGGTCACAGAACTTCCTGAATTGACTGAGTAGGATGGCTGTGTAATGGTCACTGTTGGAACAGCTGTAACAGAACGACAAATTGCATTTTATAGGAATTTTCGACTCTGTGTGATATGAAGGTGTTATGGAGTTGGGATATTCAATCATGCCCCCTGGTAGTTGTATGTTTATCCGACACAATAAATTCTGAAATATTATTTCATTACTGATAATTCTCCCACAAATCATTGTTTAGACTGCAGAGTTTCCATGATGATAGTTAATTATCTGCTATAGTTTTCATAGAATTTCAGAGAAAATGAAAATGTGCAAAATCGTAATACAATGCAGCACAACAATAGCTGAAAAATATGAGGTAAAAAATTGTTTTAAATTTTACTGTACGGAAACTAATTTAATCATTTCACTGCAAAAAAAATGACCTCTAATTCTACTTGAAATGTTTGTATGTATTGGATAAAAGGGTAAGATGAGGAATATCAGTACTAAATCTAGATAATAGATAGTGCTACTACTAGACATAAAATAACACAGAATGAATATAAACATTACTTACTATTTGAGGTAACAGACAAACTTGCTGTGTTAGCACTTTGTCCTGTACCAGCACTGTTTGAAGCAAAACATCTATAGGTTCCAGCATCATTTGAATCTGCATTGAATATGGTGAGTGAAGGATTAGATGAAGTACTGCCGCTGTATTTGTTGGTGTTGGTATTGGATGTGATTGTAGTGATAGCACTATTGACTGTTCTCTGCCAGGTTACACTTGTTACAGTTGTTGTTGACGATACAGTACATGCCAAGGTCACAGAACTTCCTGAATTGACTGAGTAGGATGACTGTGTAATGGTCACTATTGGAACAGCTGTAACAGAACGACAAATTGCATTTTATAGGAATTTTCGACTCTGTGTGATATGAAGTTGTTATGGAGTTGTGAGATACAAGCATGGCCTCTGGTGTTTTTTTTATCTGACACAATAAATTCTGAAAGATTATTTCAATACTGGTAATTCTCCCACAAATTATTGTTTAGACTGCAGAGTTTCCATGGTGATAGTTAATTACCTGCTATAGTTTTCAGAGAATTTCAGAGAAAATGAAAATGTGCAAAATCATATTACAAAGAAGCAGAACTATAGCTGAAAAATAGACTTTTGATCGAGTTGAGATAAAATATTGTTTTAAATTCTACTGTACTGAAACTAATTTAATAATTTTACTGCAAAAAATAACCTCTAAATCTGTTTAAATTTTTTGTTTGTAGTGCATACAATGATTAAATGAGGAATATCAGTACTTAATCTAGATAACAGATAGTGCTACTACTAGATATAAAATAATACAGAATGAATATAAACATTACTTACTATTTGAGGTAACAGACAGACTTGCTGTGTTAGCACTTTGTCCTGTACCAGCACTGTTTGAAGCAAAACATCTATATGTTCCAGCATCCTTTGAATCTGCATTGAATATGGTGAGCGATGGATTAGATGAAGTACTGCCGCTGTATTTGTTGGTGTTGGTATTGGATGTAATTGTAGTGATAGCACTGTCGACTGTTTTCTGCCAAGTAATACTTGTTACAGTTGTAGTTGATGATACAGAACATGATAAAATAATTTTACTTCCATTGTTCACAGAGTAAGATGTCTGTTGAATTGTAACAGTTGGAATGCCTGAAGCTATAATAAGAAGAATCCTGATTTCAAACGACTGAGTTAGTATCAGTCTAAATTAAAATCATACAATGATATGGGTCATTTAGAATAAAAGGTGGAATTTTGAATTGCAAATGGAATCAAAGTTACAACTAACTATCATTTTTATAAGAAAATAAAGACAAACAATACTTTATATGAAAAATGGAATCTTAATGATGTCATACAATAGTATATTAAAACATTCTTTGATAGGTGGTGCAATATCTTGTTATCAATTTTAAAAGGAAGTTTGCACAATTAAAAAAGATGATAAAAACTTTTAGCTTGATTTTCGTGAAATATAAAGTTAGTTCTAGAACGAAACTTTCATATATTACCTTTCGTGTGTTAATACATTGTTTGTCAATTTTCCATGTTTAGTTCTATCCTGTTTCTAGTATGTTCTACCTTGTAACCAATAGCAGTATTACATTGTGTGTGGTAACAGGCGAAGATGAAGATTGAACCGCTAAATAAGTTCCAATAATCTAACATTTTTTTGAGTGATATGTATCTTTTTGAAGCGTTTAAGTTTCAAAAAGTCTATGCTGTTACTTTAATGATCATAGTCACAGGGTAGGTATGCGTAGGAACTATTTTGTTTAAAATATGTACATCTCTCTGGCCAGGCCGAAACTAGTAGTTCTAGTGGCAGACTATTAATTTACAGTCTTTTTAAATTACTTTCGAAAAATATTTTTTACCCTTGACTGGTTTAGGGCTTGACATACTGTATTTAAACCTAATTCTTGTTGAAGACCTTGTGTTGATCTTTTGATGTATTTTTGTTTTTGTGTTGTTAGGTTGGTGTCGCATTTATTTTTAGATCAATGGATTTTTATTTTTATTTATATGTGGGTCATTTAAAAAAAAAGGTACATCTTTGCTAAAATTTTAAACTTTTAAATGAACAATTCTGTTTTATGTGTTTAATGGAAGTTTGTATGAATCAAGAGTCATAACAAGAATTAAAAACATCACTTGCATCATTTAAATATTTGCATTAATTACATGGGTAACATACCAGGGTAACATATTTCAAAATATATTTTTCCTGTTTTCTGATTGCCTTAATTTGCCTTATATAACTATTGAGTATGATTATTTTAACCATAACAGAATATCTCAGTTTCTTTTTTATAGCATTAAACACATTTTAGAGGTTATTGATGTGTAAACTGGAGCGATTAACTCACACACTGAATAAAACTAAATGACAGTTTATACATCAATAACATCTAAAAAACAGTATGTTATCCTTATGATTCTTAACCAAAATAATTGCTACTTTAAATTAACTTTTTTTTTTAATTGGATACGTTTTCTGTGAATTCCATAGCTGACATGTTGTAACAAAGGAATGAGTCGCCATACTGACCTGAAGATATTCATAAATGTTTGATTGATGCAATATCGAAAATGAAACATTATTTTCCTAACAAATAGTGTTGAAAAAGGTTACAAAAGTAGTTCACAGCTGTTATCCATTCGTTTGATGTGTTTGAGCTTTTGATTTTGCCATTTGATTAGGGACTTTCCGTTTTGAATTTTCCTCAGAGTTTGGTATTTTTGTTGTTTTACTTTTTTTCAACAAGTTGAACATGATTTTCAATTGTAAAACAAAGGTCGGAATAAAATTCTGACGGATCAGTTCCATTCAAGTATTTGTAGATATAAAATTGAGAATGGAAATGGGGAATGTGTCAAAGAGACAACAATCACATAACAATTATTATTCTATGAAACAATTTTCAACCAACTAAATTCAATTGGCTTTGATAAAATGCATGTCGATCCTGTAACCGATACTAGAGCAACTGTTTTAATCGCTTTAACTTAAGGAAAAAAACATTTGTGTAATCTTGGTATGAGATGACAGTTTAACGCCTTGGGATCTCTATAGATCTCTTGTTGAAAGTTTCATTGACATGATAAAAAATATATAATATATATATAAAATTGAAATAGGAGGGCAAATTTGTCCCGATTATCAGATTAGAAGTACCCAATTTTGTACTACCAAACTTTCGGGAAATAGTTCAATCTTATATGCAATAAGAAGCATAAAGATATGTAGAATTTGTAAGCACAAGTCAGGATAATTATTTGGCTGAAGGTTCTATCATTTTGATCAATAGGTTGAACCAATAAATGTAACTCTGAATGACAGTGCCCCGAAGGATCATTCGGTTAAAACTAGGTTCTAACTGGACCTGAAGGATCAAGTATTTAACACTTCAATACATAAAATTCACATAAAGCATTAATTGGTGACATTTTTTTTTATTAAAGACCAAAAAATATGAAATTAATAGTCAGGGTTTATATATACCATATATAAACATACATAAAAAATGTTGATTTGAAATAAAATAAGAATTTATTTCTGCACATATATACAAGTCAAACGGAATATATGTAACAGTTTGTACCAATTGTTTAAATATTTCTATAAACGTCAATAATATTTATTTAAAATTTATGGACAATTTATATTTAAATCTTTAAAAAACCTGACCTTTAAAATACTTCATACAATTTTTTTTCCAAAAATAACGTTGGAAAGTTATTCCTCAGTACCGAAATTAAACAAGCTGTATGTAGGCTATTATATTTTTTGTTCATCTTTCATTTTTCCTTTCAATGTAAAAATGTTTAGTATTAATATGACTTTCAATGCATGAGTGACTATTATATAATTTGAATAGTCTATAATACCACAATGCGTTGTGGCCTTTCCACAATTAAATCGACCGGAAAGTGGAAATACTAAATAATTTAATGGAATTTGAATAAAATTAACAATGTCTTTTCAAAGAAAATGTTTGTTAACAGGAACAAAACTCATACATGATTTAAAAAACATATAATGAAATTATAAACCAGCCATCCGCTCAATGTTGGTACACAGCCAAGAGAACAGAGTTAAAACGGTAACATTTCGATGAAATTTCGAGGGCAGTATTCCCCCCTATGTTCTCCTTTAAGTAACAGTGACAGGAATGTTGGAGAAATGTTTGAAATGAAACACACAAAGGAAGACTCTCATAAAGTTTGATTACTTGTTTCGGAAGTGAAGAGTTACAAAGTTTATAAACATGTGTAAAGGGTTCCACGAAACCCTGTGTATTGCCTGCAATTGCTGACGTCAGTGTAAAAGTGCAATGTTGACTGCCAAAAGTTAAGTCAATTTATCAGTAAAATACAGAAAAAAGGAAAATAAAACTAAATTTAAAATTTTGTTCTGGGTACTTACTGTCTTTTGATCACAAAAATGCTTATGTCAAAGTATAAAAAAAAATTCAGAAAGGGAGAAAAGGAGATGCGTGTTAGTAAGATTCTGTGAAAGTTTCTCAAAATTCTGCCAAACTGTTCAGTAGGATACATAGGTGGACAGAAATAAAAAATGATGTACCAATGGAAGAGATGAAAGACATAACCACCATTATATACTGCCTGCTTCAAAAATACTGACTAGGTCGCAGTCACTGTGATGTTTCCCAAATTTTCCTATCTGATTTTTAAAGATTCTTCACAATTTAGATCTTACAAAACCAGGCCAATGTTGTGAACATAGAATCTTGCAAGACAATTACACATGCAAGCATGATGCAATAGATTGATGTATACTATCCACCAAAGTTCATATGGAGTGGATGTAAGTAATTATAGGCAACCGTACGGCCTTCAAAAATGAGAAAAACTCATACCGTATAGTCGGCTATAAAAGACCCCGACATGAAAAATATAAAACTATTTCATTGAGTAAACTAGCGCCTCATTTAAAACAAGACAATTTACGAAAAGCAAATATGACAGACATGAACCAAAGACAACCACAGGCTCCTGGCTTGTGTGCAGCACAGCATACGAACCATCTATAAAAATCAGTTGAAAAGGGCTTAACTGGTAAGATCAACACAAAGCTAAATGAAACAAAACTACAAAACGAACTTGGCAGGGAATTTATACATCTCTAATAACAAAAAAGACACAAAGTACATATTTTAGAGTACTCGTAGTTAACGACAGCTAATTCAAAGCTAATAAAAACTAATAAAAAATGTATCTTAGACTTAAATATCGATCAGTACAAACTCAACAAATGGATTTAGTGTAAAGACGTCATTAAGAGTCAGAGAAAAACAAGACCTTGAGCAATGCCAAAATATAAGTATCGACAGATTGTAGTACCGTGAACGTGCATATGTGTATAACAATAATATTTAGTATGATTTTAATTAACAGATAAAGAAAATCAATATTTATACCATTAAATACAATATTCAAAGATCTAATTACCATGTTGAATTGGTAACCTTTTAGAGTAAGTTTATTTAAAAGATTGATAAGTTTACCCGGATGAGTATCTTATGAATTTCTGGGCTCGTTAAACAACATCACCGTAAAAATTAGGATGTGCTATCCCGTTTGATATAAGTTTTCTACAGGTACAGCCAAACTTGCAAACCAAATCTTTGTATCAATGGAAGAATTTAGTTATGGTTTTAAGTAATTAGTTGTAACGAAATCCCTGACTTAATAATTTATCAGTAATACATAGGTTACGTTTATTGAGATTCAAAACGTCACCACAGACACAGGCATAGCGAACGATTTGGATAAAATAAACGCCTTAAGGCGGCGTAAAAGGAACATCACCGTCCAATAATGGAAACCAACTGTACGAAGCTCAACAGACTTTATCAAATTGCCTAAAAAATGATACTTAATAACTATTTTGACCAACATAATGTTGCATGTATTAGGGTTATTTTGGGGGAAAAAGGATTTGTGATTCTTTGAAGAAAATATTAAATTGTTAATGCATATCTTAAAGCAGATTCAAGAAAATGAGACAGGAGTGGCAACTACAGTTTTAACCTGTTTCTTTCAGATTACAAAAGGGCACGTGTCTATGGCAGTATATAAATGCTCTAACTCAGACATTCTAATATTACTAATTGTTATATGACAATTACAATTCCACTAGCTGAAGTTTTCAACAATATAAATTAAGAAAGACTGATAACATTAATGTCTTCACAGTGTTTGCACAATATCCAGATGTCAAATTCATGACGTTTTCTATTTTCCAAGGCATCAAACAGGTCAGAAACTGGTCAACAGAACAAGACGTATATAATATCTATTATTTTTCATTATATCATAATAAACTAATTATCAGATTAATTTCTGCAGGGAAGGCAAAAGAGGTAAACATCTCAATTTTCTTTCAAAATCCCCGACAAAGTTCTCTTATTTGATAAAAATTTTGTCAACTAGAATGAAACCCGCAAGTCATCAATTACATTGTTACTGCAAACTTATTTTAGAACAATATCAAAATGCAAGCTAAATGTTTCAAAAACATAGCCCTTAATAAGTATATCTTTGTTAAACATAGGCATAATTCAATAAGATGTGCGAGACTTTCGATGATGGCTTGTGTTGCCTGTCCTATTTTTTTTAAGGGAAGTGAATATGCATGATATGTTCACAGAAATTTTAGAATGGTTAAGAAATATTCAAAGTGGGAAAAATGACTAGCAACTTTTAAGATTACATTTCATTTCGCTTAAGACATTCTACTTCTTAGTTGAGAATTCTGCAGACAAACCTTTTTGTGAATCTTTGTTAAGTAGCATGTATATAATGATCCCAACAGCTATGCTAATTGTAATTCCTGACACCAATGCAGACAACATACATTTTTGTTTCCATGTACAGTATCTTTGCTTCGAAATCTCATTTTGACGTATCTCCGTATTTGCCCGGTCCTGTAATATATAATAATCTTAAAAACGAATATACCCTTAAATTAAAAGCGTATTATGTACTTATTTAGCATGATTGCTTCAAGTTTAGTCAGCAAGACATAAAAATGTATATTATGAAACTTTTTTTTACAAACGTGACATACACAAAATTAATGTGGAAAAATAATGTAGTTGTATACCTAAAAAAATATCCAGTATTCAATTTGATATTTGTTTGACCAGAGGACACACATTCTAGTCTAGCTTATAAATTACAGTTTAAGCTAAAAATTGGCGGATATAATTACAGCTTACCTTGTTTGGATTCAGCAAGTGTCTGACTCTTAAAGGTTCAAAATCAAGTATTTTATTCGACTTGAATTTTGTTTTTTAAATTAACGGATCTATTTTATGAGAAATTGTTAATAACGAAATGCACTATGGGTGACCAGATTTACTGTCTAGGCTTAGTATCGTGGTCATGTTTCTTTTCTGATCGAATCATGTGAATTTTTTAGTAGACAATCTTCATATATTTCAAATCCGGCCAATAAGAATAAAAGATTTTCAGCTATTATTAATTTCGATCGTAACTTAATAATTATTGCCTGTAGTGTCCCTGCCAAACAGTTGTCCTGCCATTTCGTTTGTATTTAAATCTGGCAAAGTTATTTTAGAGATTATGATTAAAAGAGACGGAAGATACCAAACAACATCGAAAACAAAACTGAAACTGAGGTAGCAATAGACAGTTAGAAAAAAACAACAACTTAAAATTGACACTTATAATGTGTAATATCTCTCTTTTCCCATGTTTCTAACAAATAAGGCTTTCTGTTTGTATCATGTATGTGTATATGTATGGAAATAGCATTTTACATATATTTGATTTCCAATAGTTAGAATCTTGAAATATTATCTCTTTTTGGTGTAACCATGTCAACAATATGCATTTACTTGATGCAAAATGTTGTAAAAAGGGAGGGGGGGTTGAAAATGTTTCAAAAATTCCCAACAGTTGGTCCAATGTAGAATTTCAATCCATTTGAGTGACACTTTTCTGAAACCATTGAAATTTATATATCCATAGGTCCAATACAAATCATATGCATTTCACCTAATTTTTCTATACATTTGCTTTGAAAAGTTCGAGCGTAAAATATTTGTTGAAAACACTACAGTAATTTCTGGACCTAGGGGAGGCACGGATGAGAAAATTCGGACCGTCAAACAGAAAAAGATATATTATAACATACCAAAAACAATCTTGATGTTCAAAAAAATCCACTTCGAAGGCTTTATTAATCTTCAGCTATCTAAAAATCAACTTTATTGCACTATTGCACAATATCTTTCATATTTGAAAATTCAACGGGGCCAAAATCCGAAACTTAACTCCTAACTCTGTATTAAGCAACATAAACCCCACCATAAGCCAGGAGTAACCAGTGACGACGACAAAGAACGATGGCAAAAGACACTGAAAGCTAGAAGGGTTAAGAAGGAAAAATGTAACTTATGGCAACCAAGCCATATAAAATCAGACAACGCCAAGGTCAAAACAGAAAAAGACAAACAAACAATTCAAGCAACCGTCCACGAAACTAACTATTGATCGACAGTAACTCCATCAAAAACCGAGTGAACCAAGGTTCAAACGAGATAAAAGAGAGCTTCTGCGCCATTTGGGGCATCCGCTGTGTTGTTCATGGCAGATAGACATCTGGTATAAATTCGCTTTCTATGATGTCAGAATTGACATAGACTATGTGGCTCTGACAGGTTGAACAAACCGTGGTCATCTATAACACCGATATAGTCCATGACTGTCAACCAAATTATCATGGCGTTCATTTAAACGTATCAACGATACTGGGCGTATACTATATAGATAGGAAGACGCGTGTTTTATCAAGACAAGACTCAGCATAGACCCTGGAATTTATGCAGTTGGTAGGCCAAGTCAAAAAGGATGTTAAAGACTATAAGAAACCACAAATTCAAAATAAGTTGTACCAAATTTGGCAAAGGCCATATATATGTCCATAAGATAAAAATCTGAAAATTGCAATGATTTTAAAGGTTTACAACAGCAAATTTACAATGATAACGTATCAATGATATTTCATGTCTGCACTGTAATGTTTATTACTGGACTGGTGCTACCTTCGGGAACGAAATGCTACATGTTCCAGCTATGGAATCGACCCAGTTGTTGTGAAAATAAGTTATAATTATCAAATATATTACCTCAACTTTACATGAAAACCCATGACACAATAACTTTCTTTAACGAATCCACCCTTTATCAAATGTATGACGGTAGGATAATATTTAATAATAAAGTATCAACTGCTTGAAGGTTGCTATTTGAATACTGAAATATCGCTATCATGGTACAACTTAAAACTGCTATCCCTTCCAGAGCACCTGAGTTAGCTAAAGGTTGTCGGTGTGGTTCGAGTTGCTTAGTTCTTAGTTTTCTCTGTTATGTTTTGTATATTGTTGTTTGTCTTTTGGTCAGTTATGCTTTTTTGCCATGGCATTACCATTGTGTTTTCGGCTTTGAATATTCCTTTGGTATTTATTGCCTCTCTTTTGAATTAGGTACCCGCTGTCGTATCAATTAGTTCTAAACCGACACACATTTTAAATTTCTATTTGTAGGTTAAAGTCATATGAAACTTCAAATTTGAAAAAAAAATAAATATGGTTTAAATACTTGAATGGCTAATTAGTTTAACTTAAAAAGTGGACGTGACCTTTTTTTTTTAAAGAAAATCCTTTATATTATCAAAACTTCATAAATGTACCGATATTGAATTATTGACTTCCCAGACACTAGTTCGCCGATATTTTCCCGTATGCATTTACCTTAACTACGAAACCTCTTGTTATAACTTCGTCCACCGCACTGCCCAAGTGCGAGGGGAAACCGTGATGAAAGAATGTAAACAAATGAGCACTGGAAGGTAAATAGTGTAATATTTTAATGTTTTGTAAATATTGACCTCTGGTTAAATTGGCTTTATAACTGTTTATTTGTGTACAGAGAAAATTAATGACGCAAGGCTAATTTGACAAATGGCTAGTTTTATTATCTGCATTTAAAGTTGAACTGTCCGATGTAATTAAGACAAGTAACGATGTCTTGGGGTGTAGGGTATTAAAATTAGTTATGCCTATTTGTTTTGTCTAGAGTGAAAGTAATTAAACTTTCTGATAAAGGTCAGTTGGTCAAGATACTGGCAGATTGTTTATTAGCTGTTATACTGTTAGGATGTGATTTTTCCTTGAAGTCTTGAATCAGTAAAGATTCTGGAGGACTTGTGTTTAAAGTTTATATGTTTAAACTTTGTAAGCTAACTTTGTCAATAAGTCTGAAGTAATGTACATTTGTGAATAAACTTGTAAATAAATACCGCATTATTTAGTTTATGGAATTTACCACAGGATACATTGTCGTGCCGTAATATGGTTATGTTCGTCTGTCTGTGTCGTTGTCGTTCCTCCCCTCGGTCACGTTACAATAGTAGTTCAAGATTCTTTAAAAACAAATTTAATACAAAAATCATCAAGTGAACGTTTAATTAACAAATGTGCACACACGGAAAATATATAAAAAAAAACGAATGTCATGGCTCTTTAAATTCACTTATTTGTCATTTTAGCACGTGCTCTGTTTATATTGTTTATCAATGTCACGATCCGGTAAACTTCGGCAAAAAACTCGAAAGTGAATTAGCTTGCGATCAACAATCACTGAATGAGATATTATTTGTCGATAATACGTTATAGATTCGTAATAAATAAATAAAAGAAAAACGTGCATACAGGTCTGAGTTTAGTATATATGCATGCATTGGTTCAATAATTTCGATAATATTAAAAGTTCAATAAACTCGTTTCATATGACTTTAACTATAAAGCAGATTAAGGTTCATGTGGACCCTTTGATTAAAATGGCTGTGTTTTCACCTCAAAATTTCCTTTGAGTACAAACAAACCTGTGTATCTGGAAATGTTTTAAAGTATAGCATGCTCTAGGTAAATAAAATTCAAATGCATTTTATATTTTTAGAAAATTGAACACTTAACTAGATTTAGTAGTGCACTTTTTGTTCCGACAGAAAGTTCCAAAATAAACAAAGTTGGAAAAGAGGTTTGAGAACTTCCCCACAAGTAATTATTGCAGAGAACTGTATTGATTGACAAGGACAATAGATACCTGACTATAATTGGTGATTTAAATTGTGTATCTGAGTGGATCATATCATGTAAAACTCGACTGTTTGTTAATTTTATCATCTTCTACCAGTACGAAAATTGCATTGCAATATCCAGTTAGGTTTTTTTAATTTTCTTAAACATTAAATGCATTTGAATTTGTTAACATAGAGCATGCTATGCCTTAAAACTTTTCCAGATGCACAAGTTTGTCTGTACGCAGCCATTTCGGCCAAAGGGTCCACATGAACTTTAAGTAACACTGAATATAACAAACAAAGGCTGCTGATCCGAATGCATTGCAAAACTGTCAATTGTATCCATTGGATATAGTGGGATGTTTGGGAAATTGAAAACCACAAGTACAAGTATGCCAAAAGTCATATATTATATATTTATATCAGATATTATGTAAACAAATTAAAATAAGCTATAAAATATATTTGCTTACATTATGTGTTTGTAATATTGTACCGTCCAAATGTGTTTCACTATCCAATTGATAGGCATGATTCAAGTTTGGTACAACCGTATCATCTATTTCATCATATGTGTTTTCATGTAGACGAATTGAATCAAATTCAATAATGTCCTGCTCACTTCTATTCATATGTTTGTTTTCTGTGTCTGCATTATTTTTATGAAGAGAATCGTCTTGTCTAATGGGTAGTTGATTAGTTTTGACCGATCCATACACTCTCAAGTAATCATGTTTTATATTATCACTTCCCATATCCGTGTTGCTGAGTTCAGGCAATTGTAAATATTCATGATGTGATTGAGTTTTTACAATAGTTCTAGGTGATAACTGGTCATACTTATTTTCGAAATCAACACTTGCGGCATTTCTGTTTATTTGTTGGTACACTCGACGTTGTGCAGTATTTTGGCCATCTAGAGTATGAGAAGTTTGATTATAATCCGTGCTACTCTCTCCTGCATGAGAAAGTTCCATGATATGTCTATTGTATCTCTTCTCTATCTTTTTCTGAGTGTCTTATAAAATATTTTTATATATATAATACCCGTGTCATGTTTCCGTAATGACCCGCTTTCAAAAAATGCTGAATGACTTCACACAAACGTGTTAGTAAAAAGATTTAAATACTGCGCTGAAGGTAAATACCAATATCGATACAAGATTTAATTGTGGAATTTCTTTACAAAATACAATTGCTTTGAAAAGTATTCAGGCGTAGTATAATATAATTTTTTTTGTGTGTTTGATACAATATAGTAATAAACGTTTACTACAAATTTTAAGACATGCATTTGTATTGGTTTGATATAGGTATGCAAAGCAAAACAAATATATAAAAATAGGAATGATGGATTTTACGTGACGTGACGTGGCCATAAAACCAGGTTTAATCCACCATTTTCTACATTAGAAAATGCCTCTAACAGGTCAGGAATATGACAGTTGTTATCCATTTGTTTTATGTGTTTGAACTTTTGATTTTGATATTTGATTACGGACTTTCCCTTTTGAATTTTCCTTGGAGTTCGATATTTTTGTTATTTTACTTTTTACATGACTGCACCAAATGATACAAATAGGATTGATTTAAACAATTGTCGGTTGAAATATGTACAGGTGGATCATTGCCTGTTTACCTTTCAGATCACTTGAGTTCACCACTCGTGATGTATTAAAAAGGTTCTGACTGAATTTGGTTCCCGTTTTCAGTGTTGTGTGCATTTTCCATGTTGTGTCTGCAGTCAACGTGCAGTATATTTTTTTTTCCTAAAACATGTGCTTTCATTTCAAACTTTCGAATTCATATTTATGGGTTACACAAATTTTATGTAGCAATGGTTTATGAATTAAGAGATATCTTAGTGTTATGCAAACGACAATTACCAAAAATGGTGCGGTGTCATCTGATATAATTCTAAAACTAATTTTGTTAAGATTAATTTGGCAGGTGTCACAAGCTTAGCAGTTACTACTGACTCTTCCCGAGTTCAACCATGGTTTTTGAAGTAATTAGGCAGTGCTTAATGTCTTGATTATTAATCAGGAAAATTAAGATTAACCAATCGACCATGAAAATGAGGTCAAGGTAAAAGAAACCTGCCAAATAGACATGAACATCTTGTAGTATTTTACACACTTTGCAAATCCTGAAATAATAGATCAATACCTTTATTGCTGTTATTTATCTTAAAGTCAAGTCTAGACCAGAACTTTTCATGATTAAAATATACAAGCAAATTATCCGGATTAATGTTGTTAGTTTAAAGATATTTATTTGTCATCATTACAAATGTATCATCATACTAAATTGAAAATACACTATAATAAAATGATTCGGGAACAAGCTGTACATAGCTTATATTAATCCGTTTCCTTGAAAAACCACCTCTAATTAACGATTTCATAAAAATAGTATGCTATGTTATAATGATATGGAAGAAGAATAAATAAGTAATTACATAATAAAGAAAGAAGGGGGAAATATTTGTAATTTGAAAAGAATGGAAATAACAAAAATACAACAAAAGAAGAATAAAAAAATAGAAGAAAATAAAATCACTAAAATACTATACAAATGTGCAGATGAAATGCAACATTGTCAAATCAGTGAATAAAAGTTTAACTTGTAAATTTCTTCCACTCTAGTAAGAATTGTACTTTTTCAAAAATATCCTTGTTCTGATCTAAGGTTGTTAACCACTTTGCATCTTACTTTTGCATTGGAAATAGCCGCGGGTAAACCATGCAAAACTTGAGTACTGTTGTAATTCCACAGTTTACTGTCGTGTTTAATTTAGTTGTATAGATAGGACTTATGATTTGAAAATTATCATTTCCTGTCAACAGTATTTCAACCGTTATGATCTCTGGTAGACCGCCTACATTACTAGTGTATGTATGGCCAATTGAAGTTCTTGCGAACGTTTGACGAACGATTTAATTGGCGTGTTATGTCATATGCTGTAAAAACAATTTACCTCTATTGTTTTTTTTTAAAGAATCCAGAACCGGGTTTGAAAACCAACACGTTATTTTACAAGAAACAAAAACCGGATTTTCTCGGATTCAAGAAATGGTTAAACCTGCCCTGAAACAAGATTTATCGGATTCAAGAAACGGTTAAACCTGCCCTGAAACAAGATTTATCGGATTCAAGATGGGAGGTATTTAACCGGTTCGCTTATTAGATACCAGTTCATCTATAGACAGATGTTTTGGGATAAACTCAACAATGAAGTGACCAGTTGTGGTCATTGATCCGTTTAATGTAAAATATGTAAACAATATAATTATGTGTATTTGCAAAGTAAATACTATTAGACACAGTCGTTGATTTTCTTGTAAAGCGGAGTTTAAAAATATTTAAAAAATTGTCACATTTTGGAAATTATGGCTATGAAAGTATAACTATGACGACGGCAGTTGCTAAATATTCATATGTCGCTATTTTATAACGTTTTGATATAATTTTTTTCATCCTTATTATATTCCGAATGCATATTTTTTATTGGGGGGGGGGGGGGGGGGGGCTTTGAATTCTTCGTGTAGTATAGCCTCGCTGACCAGGGGGTAGCTCTTGCAATTCTCTTTGTAGAGGCATTAGTGGAGTGGCCGTCGGTTGCTGAATCTGCGACTCGAAAAACTTTGACACGTTGTAGACTATTAAAATTTGACTGAGACGAAAGTATCTTTTTACGCTGTTTTTTACCCGAACTAGCAGATAATTATGCTCAAATAGAAAATCTAATAAGCGGTAAAACATACACGCGTAAATCGAAATATTCTTGTTTGAAAGCTGTATATTATGATCATATTTAAGGAGGGAAAATAGGGTGTAAATATTTGATTTTTTATATATAATTTTCATGAATCACGTTTAATATTGTCAATGATCTTGCAAATAGAAAGGTTTTAAATAGATTAATACCATAGCCGATACTTTAAAATACTAAAAAATGCTATCAGTTTTAAACTATTTTATTCGTCTCATATTACCATAACCCCGTATAACCCCGATACAAATGAATCCGGACGTTAACGCGTTCGAAGCGATAATCAGGATAACATTTTGGATGACAACGATTTTTGAATGTCATTCTAGAACTTATTTGAGTATATATCAGTGTTTCAATGTGCATGGTCGTTTATCTAATCAATTATGTTCTAATTCACTTGTTCAAACGAACATAAAGTATTTCTGTGCACAACGCTACTTAATTTCTGAAACCTACTTCAAACCCAAACTGTATACGCTATCATTCTTGATATAAAATAAGAAACACATTTCTGATTTTGTCCGGCTAGGTGACCATGTTATTTTATTAAACATTACAAGCTAATTCAAACATCATTTTACTGTCCACAAAAACATTGGATTCACTGTATGCGAATAACGTCCACTAAATAAAAACTTTGTTACGGTACACTGGCCTTACAGAATATCTAAAAATAAACAAATATCATAATTAGTACACATTAAATTGATCTCTGAATTACATATTATTAACAATTCTACACTACTGTAAATATGTCTACACTATATTAGAACATACTCACCCATTCTCGTCCAATGGAAAATCAGTATTTTCCCTTCTATTTTTCATAGTACATGGCTTTCCATGCACTATAAAATACTATACATGAATGACTTTTCATTGTAAATTAATTATGAAAGTGAACTCTTAAAAATTACACTAACGAAGTGTACAATCCCTCAAGGCAATTTCTTAGGGAAATGAGCAAAAGAAAAAAATCACGAGTACTGTTTGTCTGTCTAATTATTATAAATGAAATCAGAAGAATACAACTATAAAATCATTTTGAGTAAAGATTTCAACATTGTAAATGTTATTTAATGGTACATACTAACCCCCCCCCCCCCCCCCCAAAAAAAAAGAGAATTGAAAAGGGGGCAAAGGTGTAGGTAAAATACATATAATATTTAAACTAATTTTTAAACGATACCTTAAAATCAATACATCTGATGTTGAAACGATTCTAAATTAATAAAATTTATTGATGAAGTTTTGTCATTATTATACAATTTTAGAAAAGCTGATTTATATAACATTCTGAGTTTTTAAAATAAGGGAATTTTAGAAATACAAGATTTAATTGTACCCGAAGAAGAAGAAATCTCAATTTTTGAATAATTTATCCTTTTTTGTTATCACAAAACTATCTCATTACTCTTTCATTCCATCTGTTGAAATGACCATTAAATGATTTATATCCCTTTACTAACCATGTTAACACTTAAGGTGAGCTAATATCAAAGTTTGATTATTACAATGAGAGGCTAATTTTGTTATGTCACTCGAAGGTGTAAATATGTTCTAAATTGGTCAAACAATACTTGGTCATGTTTTATGCCTCGGGCTCTAAATATTAACAAAACATGACCAAGTATTATCTAACATATAAGTAAATAACGTGTTCACCGCCCAACCGCGATCGATAACTGAAAAAACGTGATCCTTTTCTTATATACTAGCCGCGAAATTCAAACCGGTTTTTTCAATAGGCACTACGTGACTAAAAATTAATACGCGTACATAAATATATTTATACGGTTGTTTCAAGTTTCAGATTTTGTATAGAATATTTGATAAAACTGCTAGATGCAAAACGCACAGACAGGTGCAATTTTCTACGTTTTATGATGTAAACCATGTTGAATAACTTGTCTTAATTACATAAACTTTAGCGTAGCAATATTTAAGCATCATAAATAACTACACGTTAAATTACTACGTGCCTTCAAATGTTCAAAAGAGTCAGAATACACACGATTTCACACTAAATAAATTTTCTTTTACTGTACCGTTCGTTTCATCAAATGTATCGAGTTCGTTGCTCTCTTACAAATAATCAATGTAAAGTTCGTTGACAAACCGTCACGAATCCTTTTCTTTTTAAGGTATTCGAGATGGCATCAGCGACCCTTTTTCTGTGTTTTATTGTAAATTTTTGTCTGTAAACTTTGTCGAAATAGTAGACCATAAAATAATCCGTCATCCAAAGCCAAAATTGGAATGTTTTAACCAGCTCACATCTGACAGCAATTTTTCTA